ATAATTGAAATTCAATGTAGAAAAATCATACAAGTCATTTTTCTCACATGTGTTTTTTAATGCTAATTATGATGTCATAAACATGTACATTTTCCCTTATTTTCTTAAAAAGTTGCAGAAGGCACCAATTTTCAATAAAATTTTCTTTCAGATAACATTTTCCACAGGCATCGCCCACAAAGATCTTGAGATACGTGATTTGTTATTAAATTTTGCACAAAATATCAAAATATTAACTTGGGCGAGGGCTGTGGACACTGATTTCTAAAGGAAAATCCGCCTTGAAATGTGCCATTTTGAGTCCTTTTCTCTTGATTGATTGATTGTAGACTGTTTAACGTCCCTTTCCAGAATATTTCACTGATATGAAATTTAGGCCTATGCTCGGCACTTACAGCCTTTGAACAGGGAGGGATCTTTATCGTGCCACACCTGCTGTTACACGGGGCCTCGGTTTATACGGTCCCACCCGAAGGAGCGCCCCATTTAGTCGCCTTTTACGACAAGCAAGGGGCTAATGAGGACCTATTTTAACCCGGATCCCCACGTGGTTTTTTCTCTTGAAAATAGAGAAATGCTTCACATTAATGAGGTCATATTTGCAGAATGGTTAACCTTCATCCCATATTATTTCCTGATTTATCACAGTCATATACTTAACTAATATTTAAACCAGTTTCAAAACTTTTTGATGTCATTACATTTTTAGGGTGCAATAAAGCTAAAACCATACCTTCTTCTTTTTTGGTGAATATTGGCACGAGTTGATTGTACAAATGCACAAGCTTGCTAGCTTGATCATGAGTAGGCTTAATTACGTATAATAAAAAGTCCCATCACATTTAAATTGTTACACTGAGGAATAGGATGACTCCCAACACTATCGACAATGTCCCTACATACGTAGGGAAAACCGTCAATAGTTTTCTAATGCAAATTCTTCGCGTGTGCGAAAGCCTTGAAAGGGTGAATTCAGTGATGAACTGTTTGTGTGATGGTATATACTTTCCTAAAATTCTAACTCTCATAGACAAAATACTAGAATGATCCGGTAAATTCAAATGCTTGTAAAGGTAAAGAAGCTGTTGGCCCCCGTTGTTAATTTGAAATTTGTGACCCAATGTTAGTTTTTTGTTTTATAAAGTGACACCTTTGTTTTACCAACAAGAATAAGTCATCAAAGATTATTTTTTATTCCGTAGACACCATTTGAAGTTTGCAGTTCGGATTTTCCCAAGTTTTCATATTTTATGATTTACCTGTATCAGTTTTATTCCGAAACTGGTAATTTGCAGACTGCACATGACATGTATTTTAAAATATCTCGGAGGATAACCGATAAAAGATTCTTAGACATATAGCTTTTGATATTAAGTCTATCTGTTTTTCTACAAAAACCTTAAGTCTGGCAATAGCTTTTGAAAAGTTTGTTTTAGGGATCTCCGATTTCACATTTGTATTTCCTTTTCATACTACCTTTATTTGCACAACATTAAAAAATAATTAGAAAAAATGGAAATCCACCATTTTGAATCGCCATTTTGACTTATAACTTACAGCTGCACCATCATTCAGTTGTAGAATGGTGAGATACGGAGGAAAAAAATACCAATCTGCAGTGTATGGATATTTGCAAATGTATTTTATTGAAATATGGCACTTTAGTGTCACTACTTCTGTATATGGGATATGTTCTAGAAATACGAAACTTAGATCAAAAATCACTCTTACGGTATTTCAATAGAAAAGCGGGATGGGTTCATAGGATGAATTGTAGCTTGAAAACAAGGTAGTTGTGCCAATATTTCTTGCTGTTCAGTGATATGTAAAAAAAAAATTGTTCTGCAATTTGTATATAAGCTTAGGTCATTACTTCGGGCCTGGAACCAGTTGCAGCTGCTGCGAAATAGTGAAAATAGGCTGGATTTATATGAAATTTTGAGATTGTCCCTGTGTCATCATTAGGGCTAATTGTGTAAGTTGTACATGTTATATTCCTAAAATCTTTAAATTCCTCAAGGGACTATATTATACTTTTATAACATGTAGAGAGAATTTAAAATTTTCTAAAGCACATTTTAAGTAAACCATCAGTCAAACGTTTTGATTGCCACCTACAGTAGAAACAAGTCGTTAGATAAGTCGTGTGATATCGTCAACATCACAAAAGGAGGAATATCACCAATGTATCTTTACCCAAAGAAAAATGACGTAGGTATTGTATATTTATACCAAAATTGAATATTTAGCTTAATTCAGAACAAGGATCGGTATTTTGATCATTTGATGCGTACCTATGTTTAAGGCATTATATATTGTATTGGTTTGTTTTGTCAGAAATTACAGTGTATCATTTCGTGGAATTCTGATTGACATTTCTCATACTATTATTATGGACATAATGAATTGTCTTAGGATTTTTCGTTATTTCCCGATCATGTCGAGGAGCACATTTTGAGGTTACTCGCTTCTCCATGGTACCCGATCCTACCTCTGATATATTTGTGGTTCCTGTTTGATCAGCTACCGCTCTGTATATTTAAATACACTTTTAAACTTGATAACTGCTCGTTATCTCCCTATTTTTTATTTCGTAAGTCCCAAACCATTTTGTTCAACATCTTTTCACATCCGTAAGTTTTCCAAAGAGGATTGTATAAGAGAAGAGAGGCTACTTAAGGCAATCTGAAAGCCGGATATTTTGATTCCATTTGTATACTCGGCTTAGTTTATGTCGGATGTGGGTTTTACATTCGGGTAACGGTTCACTGCATTAACTTTTTAAAAAAAAATCTCTATGAATGGAACACACGACCCAGTTTACTGCGTTATCTTTAAAGATTGAAAAAATCGGCCCAGTTGTATATTCATTCAATTGGTTTTAATCTTAACCTCTCTAAATTTATACGTCGACGTACTGGAAACTCTTACGCCATCGAATGAAAGATCAGGCTATAGACAACAACCATCTGGGATCTGATGTGAGTATATTATCTTCTTTTATATTAAATATGAAAGAAATACTGTCAACCTGTTTCCAATTCATGATTTTCTATAGTGATATCGTACGTATGACGTACTAATAAATCTCATGATATTATTGTCTACATAGCTTTTATTTTGTAAAAAAAAATGTGTACAAATAGAAAAGAATTTGCCTTTTTTCACTTAACAAATTGAAGTGATTTATAAATATGACTGGTAATATCACACTCTTTAACAGAGTCATTAAATTCACGGACCGACGGTTACGTATTTTCCATCGCTTTTAGTCTGAATGAAGGCTTAAAAGTGCGGTTTCAAATTGTCAATAATAGTTCCACTGAATAAACTGACAATTTTGGGGTAAAATCATTATCATCCACACTCTTCTCTGATAGAGCTGCTGAATAATATTCAAACAAATTTAATGTATGCGTACAGTAGTGACTAATACCAGAGAAGAATCACAAAACGGACTTATGAATTGTTTAGGTTAAGTAATGGTCAGTTCAGCAAAATTTGCATTTTCTGAGTTTTTTATGCATTGGTAAGGAACCTATATACTCATTTTTAGATATTGATTTTTAAATTCCAAAAATTATATATTCATTTTATAAAAATTTATGGAAAGAGTTTGGTTATTAAAGTGTCATATAAACGTGTAGTGATTGTGTCTACTCAGGTACACCAGATTTACAAATATTTCCTAAATATGTGGATGATTACAGATGCATAAAAACTTATGACTTTAAATGAGCTTTCGATTAGCTCAAGAATGCATTAAAAGATAACTTTTGTATGATTCTAACGGATTTGTGAGCTTGAATGCTGTTCGTCATCTCCTTATTTCACTTAAATAAAACACATTTATCAAGGCTTGAAAAGTTCACTTTTAAGAATTTGCACAATTATGCCAAGGAAACACCGCATTGTATTTACAATGATAAATGTGAAAATCCGTTCACAATTCATTGTGAAAAATAGCTACCTAATTAATACAGTAAAAACTGTGTTGCGATGGTTTAAGCTTTGTAAACTGCAATGCAGTATAAATTGGGTGGCTATTTTAACTTTCGCTTATAATCAGTTTAAAACTTGATTTTTTTTCATTAAGGGTAAAGTGCTCTTAAAAATGACTTCAAATTGAATGTAAATTCAGGTGGAGATATATGTATTTAAAGCAAGTCATTTTGACTTTTGCAAGATAGTTTATTCTATACAACGGAAATTTCCGATCCCATCAAACGGTTCATTACAACTAAAGTTAGATTATTTAACAATAAATTGCACAAACAAGGCCATCAAACTGACCACAGAATATGCAAAATGTTGATTTGAGACAAGATTATTGACAACCTTGTATCATAAACTTTTACGTAAATGGCATGTATCTTTTAAGAAATTGATCGTATATAAGATAATTCTCTAAATATCAAATCAACAACGGGACACAAACCCCATATAAAGGTGATACATTTAATGGTATATTGTTGTATAAATAAGGTGACAATAGAAACGTTTATGTTATCACATTTCAAAGATGTTATGTTATTACGTTTATCATGAAGTCCTTTAGATGGATGTAATGAATAACCAAAGGAATGAGTTCTGAATTGGCAAGACTTAATAAATCTATATGAATATCGAATACAAGACACAGAAACTATTTCAAGTATTTATAATCATAAATTTGTGCACCAGAGTCTTCACTGCATGTTATATTTTAATTATACAGTTACATGTACATACACAAAAGTTATTTGACAAAAAAAAAACTTGCAATTAACTGCTAGAATATGACAACGACTAAAATAAACTTTCATAGAACATACTGTTGACTACATGTAAGATATTTAACTTAATGATCTTTGTCAGAGCGTGTTTTCGCTTTCTAAAATAACCATTTTTTCATATTGAAAAATTTTACATTGTCTGAGGTCTTAATAATGCTATGATATTATTTTTTGTCTATTTATTTCAGCTGATTGTATTCCTAATTACAAAGATCTGCTTACGTAATGCATAAGCTAAGATTCAACACCCCGTGTAAAGTACGACAGTGTTCTCAGTGTCAGGGGGACACAGAATACTACTGTAACACGTGTAAACAAGACCTGTGTCTACAGTGTAAAGAGAGACATGTTATAGATCTTGAAACTATACAGCACGATGTTGCGATTTACCGGGAAAGATATGAATACATTCCTAAATATGAAACCTGTGTGAGACACCCAGACAGAATCTGTCATATTTACTGTAATTCTTGTAAGTGTCCTGTCTGTACCCGATGCATAGAACACAGAGAGCACGAAATACAAGACATTGTGTCATCATATGAAACAAACCGACAACAATACAGAGACATTATTCACTACATCAGAAGCGAGACCCTCTTTAACAGTTGTGTCCTCTTGACAGAAATCAAAACTGATTTAAAGTCATGTCACGCGGAAATTTCAAACATTCAGTCGGATATGTCAGCAAAAGCCCAGATAATAAAACAACTTTTTGACACTGTGATTCGCGACGTTAAAATCAGAAATACGTGTTATTTGATGCAAAGAATAAAACAACATGAACACAGACTGTACAAAGACCTCGCAAAAATAGAGATCTATGAACACAAATCGGAGACGTTAGCAGAAAAGCCTATAAAATTACTCTTACTTCTAAAGAAATCATGTATCCCTAAATCAAAGGACCGTTGCTATCTCAGACAACACACCCTGCTCTCCCTGACTGAAAAAAGTCAACATGAAGTATTGAAAAAGTTACTAAAAGAAATTCAATTTATAGAGAGAGGACAAAGATATGTTAGGAAGGACAGTCTGCTTAAGTTGATTTCTACACCTGTTTTACACAGAACTGTCATGGTGACCGGTGTTAAAGGTGTTTTTCATGTATGCTTTGTAACACCAGACCAGGTCTGGATCACTGATTATGACAATTTCTTGTTGATAAACACAAAAGGTGACATACTTCATCAACCTACAGACAAGAGTACGTATTATGGAGGATCAAACACAGTGACAATTACAGGCGATCTTCTTTATATAGACAAGGACTATAACATAAACAAACTATCTAAAGATAATAGAAACAAGTCTATTTTGATAAAGAAAACCACGAAATGGAGACCACTCTGTGTCTACTGCTCTCCCAACAACGGAGATTTACTGATCGGGATGGATGATACTGATACATACACAGCCAGGGTAGCACGATATAACGCCAAAGGGGTACATTTACACACAATACAACATAGCAGTACAGGCCAAGAACTGTATACCGATCCTGTATACATCACAGAGAACAGCAATGGAGATATTATTGTGTCTGATATTGACTGTGATGCTGTAGTGGTGACAGAGCTTGAAGGAAGATTTCGCTTCTCATATACAGGACCTCCATCTGGGTTTGGACTCCGACCATGGGGGATCTGTACGGACGCGCTGTCACACATCCTGGTTAGCGATTATTACACCAGCACAATACATATGATTGATAAGGACGGTAATTTCCTGTCATTGATACAAAAAGACCAACCGGAAATAGATAGGCCATGGGGACTCGGTTATGATGACACCTATCACCTTCTTTGGGTTGGATCATGGATCAGCAACAAAGTGTGTAAATACAGACACACAGAAAGGCAAAACTATTGAAATTCAAAGGGGATATGTAGAATAATACATGGAGTTAATGAGCAGTTTCAAAGCTCAACTTTCATTTCAACAATACAAATTGGGAGAAGAGGAGACACAGGTCTCCAAGACCTCAGAGTGGGATCAGTCTCCACGGAGGAACATTCCCTGCCGACCTGTCACATCTGCCGTTTGATACTTGTCATGAACGAGGAATAACAAAAATATGTCGCCAATTCAGTGTGTAAATAATGGCATTGCAGTAAGTTTTTAACACATCAGCAGCAATGACTTAATGAGAGGCTATATTTGCTTAATAAACGCGGGAATTGATGACTTCAAACGACACTATTGAAATCCTTGTTTTTTCAACTTCTTTGTCAGTAGGTTGCTTCGTTTTAGAAACGGTTCATACGTTGAACATGGTCTTGAGTATCGAATCAACTTTGAGATATTAACCTTATATGCAGTTAAGGATGGAATATTGCTGCATGAAGAAGGATATGGAAATAACGAACAGTATTCAATCTCAATGTCCATTAAACAAATATACAAAATAAGAGCAGAGCAAACACGGACCTCCGAAACATCAGAGGTGGGATCAGGTGCCATGGAAGAGTGAGCATCCCTGCCGACCGGTCACACCCGCCGTGTGCTCGTTGTCATAATCAGGAAATAACGGAAAAAATCCGTGGTCAATTTAGTGTATAAATAATGGACTAACAATTGGTATGAAAAACATATAAACATTCATTATAAATTGTATTTGCTGACAAGGTCATATAAAAATAGAATTTACGAAATGATGACTGATATTCTTGTTTCATCAACTTGCTTGTCAATAATTTACCTCGTTTAAGAAATTGTTCAAAGAGCACGTATCAAATCAACTGAGATATATAAACTTCGTATGCAGGTGATGAAGGTATATTGCTGCATAAGTACGGGAAGTTGAATAGAAAAGTTAAAGTCATCACGTTTATCATACAGCTTGGTTGTTAGATTACCATTAATGTCTTTTTCAAGTAAAATATCCAAGTATGAAGCAGAAGTGTCGGACTCTGTGGTATCTTTTATCTCAAGTTCACCAGGATATATCGTGTCGACGTAGGAATGGAAATTATCATTATTAATTGACAATACGTCGTCGATATATCTAAATGTCGAGTTGAAGGCCACAGCAAGTGTTTTCTTCTTTTCACGTAAAAGATTTTGCATAAATTCTGCTTCATATGAATATAAAAATAAGTCTGCTAATAACGGAGCGCAATTTGTACCCATGGGAATTCCAATAGATTGTTGGAAAACCTGGTCTCCAAAAACCACATAGATATTGTCAATCAGAAACTCAAGCATCTTCTTGATGTCAACTTCAGAGTCCTTTTGTGTGCAATCAGAATCTGTTTTAACAAAATAATTTTTCAAATGACCAATGACGAGGTAAGTAAACTTACGAGTTCCATTTTTGTTGAAGAAGCAGCTGTCAATGATATCAAAAAGCCTGGATTTTAATTTGTCGTGGGGAATTGTTGTGTATAAAGTTGAAAAGTCGTAAGTTTTTATGCTGTTGATTTTTGTAAAGTCTTGTGATTTCAAATTGTCCTTTTAACGGTGAAAAGTTCTTTAGAATTTTTAAGTATCCACATCTGATTTACACCACTTCTTGAATATATAGTTGTACAGTACTCTTGAAGTTTTTCCTTCACTACTGTCAATATTTTAGTGCAGATGTAACGAAAGAGGCTTGGTTGAACATTTACTGGACCCTGCAATGTATCTTTGTTTGTAAGGATTCTTATGAAGTTTCGGAATCCAATATATATAAGGTAGTTCAAATTCATTTTGGCTCTGTGGAATATTAAAAGTATTCAAAACTGACAGGTGATTTTGAAGAATTTCTTCCTTAGAAAGAGAAGTATATGTATAAGTAGGATTACCACTTGTAGAATTAAATCCAAGTTCTTCTAGAATGCCATTTATATAATGAGCCTTACAAACGAAGACAATGTTGTTACCTGCTTTGTCGGCAGGAACCAATACGTACTGATCGTGTAATCTATCTAATTCTTTTTTCACTTCTGGTTTATTGAACACAGAAGGATAGATGGTTTTCATTTTGCCCCTCAATCTTTTAATACGTGACTTTAACATGGATCTGATACATTTAATCCATTCTGACAAGGTGTCAATGTCTTCTTTTTCATATCTAGCCCATCGTCTGGCGTAATTTTCAACAGAATCCATAATATTTATGAAATTCCGTGCCAGTTGAATATCGGGGTTTATATTTAGGACCTTTTAAAATAAGTGATCTAAGGTCCTCATTACGAACTATTGTAACGTCACCTGTAATAACGTGTCCAGCAGGACTATAGTTATAGGGCGAAGAAGAACATGAACACAAAAGGGGATTATTTTTCAGATAGTCGATATCCAGGCCATGTTAAGTGTTTTTGTAATTGAAAAGTTTGGAAGCAATGGTCGATGTATATTTGTAGGAAATACAAGGCGTAGTCTTTAACTTGAAATATATGGAATACAATATGGACCCTTTTGTATAAGAATATATATATTAACCGCGTCAATTCCTTTATTGGCATATTGAAGTTTAAGGAAAAGAGGGATTGTTTTAGCTGCATTTTCTTCCGTGAAACGTGCGGGTTTAAAAAGCCTATGATGTGCAATATCCATAATCACAGAACCGAGCCTATATTCAGGTGTCGAGGAATCTAAATTTGGATGTTCCTTGGTCTTTTCAAGAAGACTATTTAAAAGTTTCAAAGGGACAGAGTAAAGTATGGTTCGAATATGATGTAGACCTAACTGTTGATTTACATAAGGTAGTAATGAATCAAAAGAGACGTCGTGTATTGCAGGTTTATTGTACGAACGATGTCCATGACTACGCTTACGTCTCTGAGTATTGTTAAAAAGTCCCATCACATTTACATTATTACACTGCGGGCTAGTAAGATTTCCAACACTATCGACATTGTCATTACATCCATAGGGAAAGGCTGTACCTAGTTTCCTAATCCAAAATTCTTCACGTTTGTCTACGGAAAGGTGTACTCAACGACGGACTATTTGTGTGGTGATAAATCTTTTCCAGAATTCTTACTTTCATTGATAAAATAGAATGATCAGGTGAATTAAAATGTTTATATAAAAGCTGCTGACCACCATGATTTATTTGAAATCGATGACCTGATATTCTTTTGTTCAGCGATAACTGAGCGAAGTTAACCAATTAAGAAATTGAAGTCATCACGTTTATCAAAAACCTAAGTGTCGGGATACCATTAAAGTCTTTTTGTAGTTAAATACCAGAATATGAAACAGATGTGTCATATAAACATGGATATATCGAGTAAATATAAAAATAGAATTAACTGTTGTTAATAGTTAAATTTCGATTAATTAAAACGTCGAAATGGAAGCCACAGCAAGTGTTTTAGAAGAAGAAGAATCATAACCATTTTTTGTACCATCTTTGTCTAATAATTCATCCGTTTATATTATTTACTATATTTGATATAATTACTTTTCTTTATTGTTCCAACTATTTGATTGGCTTAAAATAGATCACATGATTAAGTATAAAAGTGGTATGGACTGGATGTTTCTGTTTCAAAAATTATAAACCTGCTGTTTCTAAAATTCGAAACGCTCTTCTGTGAAGCAACAATAGTGCTTACGTCACAATAGTCTTTACAGACTAGATGTTTCTAAAAACAGATACTGCATCTGGTATTCATTACTCTGTCGTCATAATGCATATGACATACCAATGATGAGAAGGTACTGAGTATAAAGAAAGAAGGATTTAAAGACATTTCCTATTAACTGATAAAAATAAAAAAACAATTAAAGCCTTTTGATTCGGTACAATTCCTAGATATATAGACCTTAGAGAAAGCATATTGACCTAGCACGAAGTGCATTCAGTATTTCTCTTACATACCCTCATCAAAAGGTTATAATTGAATAGTAAAAAATATGTGTATTCAGTACTTCTCTTACATACCCTTATTACCAATGATTATATAATGAAGCATTGCTGTCATTAACACAGAAGACAGTGTCTGCTATATTATTTAGAAACACGACCTTTTTTACGTGTTCATGTTATCAGCACGGTTAAAAGGTGAGCAAATACGGAACAATGTCAGCAAATGTATAATTTTGTGGGTAATTAAGAAATGATAATGTCAGAACTTAATCTCTGACTTAATAAAAAGGAAAATGTAGAAGGAACTTCGATTCCAAAGATTTGGACATAATTTATTTACATCAAGAGATTTAACTTAAATTTAATGTTTTTGTTGTTTGATTCATTTGTGTTTTTACTACATTCTATCAAGAGTCTTTCTTAAATTTTGCTAGATGAATTTTAAAGAAAATGAGTTATCTATTTTTTTATAACTGTAATTCATTCTTCATACCATATATATCAAATTAATCTTCTTTGTTTCTTTGCTGATCTCTGTAAATTACGTTAGAAAAAATAAAACCAGCTGTGGTGAAAATATATAAATATATATAATATATATAAATAATATGAAGATAACAAACAATATCCATTCTTAAAAATCCAATGAAACGATACAAATTTGGAGCAGAGCAAACATGGGAAAAATTTAGAGGTGTTTGGGGTCAGGTGTAATTGAGGAATTAGCATCTGGTCACACTCGTCTTATGTCTCTTGTCATGATCGGAGGGGAGGGGGGAAGGGGTAGGTAGTGCAGTGTATAAATAGTGGCCTAACAAATACAGTGAAAACTGTTATATTTGTCACCTGTTTTAAACGTCACACTGTAAATTCCGACGGAATTTTTCTCCCCATTTTAATTATTTTAATGTTATTTTACACTAATGTCTTGCATTCCGGCAAATAATACGTCTCCCAACGAATGTCGGATTAGCCGGATTAAACAGGTTTCATTGTATTATGAGAATTTGACTATATGATAGGCTGTATGTGCTGACAAAGGCATTGTAACGACTGAACATTTGCAAAA